GGTGACCCTTGCAATGACCTACCAGATATCTGACTCCCTGACAAAATTATTTTCTATTGGGATCTTGACTTTAGTGTTTTTTGGGTTTTTTTTCTGGCACTTGCTGAAGGTTTGGAGCTAGCAGCAGAGCAGGGATGCTGCCTTTTCAGTATACTCTGCTTTTGGTCGTTATTGCTGAAATGAAAATGAAAACTCTGCAGGCTGAGGAGAGGCTCCAAGCTGCCTTTTGAGTTTGCTGCTGGTTTTTGCTAATGTAAATTGAGACTTAGCAGGAACGGTGCTGGACTTAGGTATTGAACCCTTTGCTGTTGTGTCATGCAGATGTGGCTGAGCTGCCTTCAGATGAGGAAGGGGGGACGCTTATTGCCAGGAAGGTGGGGGAAGCTGTGCAGAACACTCTTGGAGCAGTGGTGACAGCCATGGACATTCCCTTAGGTGAGCTCTGTTTTATTCTTGTGAATTTTCTCTCTAGAGGCATTTTTGTTTTCACAGAGCAAAACTTCTGATTAAACTTCTGAGAGTTTGTGTGACAGGCTAGCACCTCCACTGTGATACCACTGTTGGCTGAGAGTTGTCCACTGCCCTGCACCTCTCTTGCTTGGTTTTCAGCCCCTTGTTTCTACAGTTCCTATCTTTTCTCCCTGTTGTGCAAATCTGTGTGCACTAAGCTGCGAGTAATTCACATTCCCCTGATGCATCCATGCAGTGACCTGCTAGCTGGAGTTCCCTAAAAACTGAGCAATTAGGAAGCATTTCATCAGGTTTGGTTTTCTTCCAGAGATGCCAAGTGCCTTTGAAGCGTGTTTGTAGATACTTCAGGCACTTGGTACTTCTGTCAGGGAGGGCTGAGCATCTGAAGCTGTCCAGGTTGGTAATGATGGGAAAGTACTCAGTAATGTGATCTTTAATGGTGAGCTTAGTACACTGAATGTCCACTGCTCTTTCACGTGCTGGGTAGCAGTTCAAGTATGTCAGCAAACGCTTCACCTGCGAGTCTTCTGGTTTCAAACCCGACTTCCCACTTGCTGTGCAGGTCATCATCCCACTGCTCTGCCTACAGCACCCCTCAGCTTTCTCAGTTCAGATGGTGCACGTGTTTCTGAATATTTGGTTCTGTGACTACCTGGTTTTGGCCACAGCTGAAACTGAAGGTGGGGAAAAGCAAGTGTCTCAACCTGTGCGAGGGAAGATGCCACCAGTTAAAGAGAAACAATCTAACCCTTTGAAGAGAAGCAGAATGTGGGAGAATGGCAGAATGGCCTAAATCGCTGCCCATTGCACTGAAGTTTTCTGTCTGTAGGTGGTCTTCCCCTTGCTGGCAGCGGTGTGGCTTGTAGTGTGTGACCACTTCCACTAGAGTATGTTCTTGACGTGCTCATGTTCACAAATTATTTTCTCCTCCCTCTTTCTCTCCCCTCCCTGTTACTGTCTCCGTAGGTCTGGTGAAAGATGCTGCCCGACCTGCATACTGGGTACCAGACCACGAAATCCTACACTGCCACAACTGCCGGAAAGAATTCAGTATTAAACTCTCCAAACACCACTGTCGGGCCTGTGGCCAGGGATTCTGTGATGAATGCTCACACGACCGCAGAGCGG